GAGTTCCCAAGGTAAGAGCGGGGGTAAGAACAAAGGGGAATTGGGCAATGGCAAGTCTGGCTCGAAGGGCAAGCACGTGTCGGTGGAAACACGGACCGAAGTCGAGGCGAGAGAGTCTCAAGGCAACACCAAGATGGGGTGTTGGGCTTGCGGTGGTGACCATATGAAACATAATTGTCCTAAGAACAAAAAACTTAATGTTGTGAAGGAAGACAAACCAAAGGATGATGGTTCGCCCATGGTGTATTGTGGTCCCTTGCAGGTTTTGTAAACATGTCGTTTGGCATGTTAGGGGTGCTGTGGTGATGGGTAGCATGGATGCTAAGAGGGATGCAGACTCGACATGAGTTGGGGCTAGTAGGCATGCCTTGGCTGAAGGGCTGGACAGCTTGGGATCAAGCTATGTTTGTGTACATGTACCTGGGAACGCTAGATATTACGTGGTGCCTGTGTTTGACTAGTTAGGGCGAGCTGGTGCAGTGCGGGTTCGGGTAACGTACATAGTTTCAGTGTGGGCAGCGAGACGCTGTGACTATTTAAGTAGGGGTGACCGCAGTTTCGGTTCCGGTTCCGGTTCCGCAAATGGACAAACCAAAACCGGAACCTTATAGTAAGGTTTCGGTTCCGATTCTGGTTCAGAAACGATGATTCCGGTTGGAACCGCCGGTTCTAACCGGATTTATTTTTTTAAAAAGAATTAAAAATAAACTATAAATTTTAATTTTTTCCGGTTTAGAACTGGGTTCCTTGTCATCTCGAACCTTAACCGGAACCATATTGGTTTCGGTTAGGAACCGGAATCGGAATCGTACGGAAGGTTCAGTTCCGGTTCCGGTTCAACAGTGCACGGTTCGGTTCGAACCGAACCGTGGTCATGCCTATATTTAAGTTTATTTTCTTATAAACTTTATTTCGTTTTAAGATGTAATTCAAATTAAACAGTGAACCATTGTAAGGGTTGGGTTAGTTGCCTTTTGTTTAGGAACTAGTGTAAAATCTTAGCTGATAGTGCTATGGGTTTAATGGGTTGTGCTAATGTGTTGACAAGGGCGTCAACCTCTTCTGGTAGGGTGAGTTGTTAGACTCGTAAATCCAATGGGTATTGTCAAGGCTAAGTCATGAGGATGGCATGGCTTAGGAAGCAGTCAGCTTTGTTAGTCAGTTGTCTATGTTGCGGGTGGTTGGCTTGAAAGAGCACATATGGTAGTGCATGGCTCAGTTAAGGCGCGGACTTGGTCCTTGGCCGAAGGTGCGCGAGACCTTGGCAAGCTCATGGTGCAACGAGCTTGGGTCTCGTGATCTTGCCGGTTTGGGCAAGGTTGCTGGTTTGGCTGACTAGTGCACTGTGTGTTCGCATGCTGATGTGGACTGGATGACTTGGTTTAGCCAAGGGCGCTGGCTGGGCGCATGCGACTGGCAGTTCCGTGCGGTGGAGAAGTTGGCTGACAATTTCCTAGATTTAAGGGGACGGTTGTTAGGCAATTTTGAGGCATTTACGCGGCATGTGAGGGTGGTTTCCAAGCATGTGAGGCGATTCCAGACCTTAGCGAAGTGGCAGCGTGCTATTGGCCCCATAAAGTTAAGCTGTTGGCTTGTAACCGCCTTGAACTATTATAAATAGCCTTGCTTTGTGGCCAGATTGGTAATACAGAGCAAAGGCTACGAGTGAGTGCTGGTTAGGTTTTTTGCTGTAACGTTCTTGGTTTTAGAGTGTTGTGGGGATCCCGTGTTCATTCGGGTTTTGAATATACAAGCTAGTTTGAGTGAGTTAATCCGTAAAAGCCTTTGTTTCGTTCGTTGATTTACTTGATAAAGTGTTACACAGACGGATTTGGTGTGGGTGAAAGATTGACTACCTTCGAGTTTGGCGGTAAGCCGAGTTAGTGCGAGCTAACCAATTGATTTTGTGAATTCGACCTGTTACAATTAGCCATTTTAAGCAAATGGCTAAATTTAGGTTGAACCATATGTCTTTACCAACCATCAGTATGTACAAATTAGGGTTCCGTAAAGTCATGGCTAGTTTTACACAAAGCTCGAACAAATGTCAACTATAGAAAAATGTAAGACATGGAATGTATGTGGGGGGAAATTCAATTTTAAAAATATATAGATTCTAATATTTGCTTTAAATATACATATATATTAATTGGTGGTTAGTTTTAAATAAATCCCTAAACATTAATTATTAAAATAAATAATTCTATTTTTGTCTTATATTTATAGGTGACAGTCCACTTTTGGTTCTTTATTTCCACCAGAACATCACATTTGGTCTTAATATTAATGTGACATAATCATTTTTTGTTCTCCGTCAACAAATTGTTTAAATGCCGCTAAATACAAGGGAATTTCGGTCTTCAATTAGAGATGTTTTTCAAAAACGTAAAAATAAAAATATAGCAGGTCAGCCCACTTTGTATATATATAAAAAGATTGAAATGCCCATTCATTTAATAACATTTCAACGATTTTGTTGACGGAAGACAAAAACGATCATGCCACAATAATACTAGGATCAAAGGGAGATGTTCTAAAAAATAAGGACTAAAAGTGGACCGTCTCTTATAAATCTATGACAAAAACTGAAATTAGCTCTATCTATCAAAATATAGGGTATTTGAACAAGGAATTGAATTGGAGCATGCATTTCTTTTTATCTTCATTATTATTATTTTTTTCAATTAGACTATTCAAGAGTACTTCAAAGTTATAGAAGATGTCTCAAACATTTCGTGATAATTTACTGTGGGTTTTCAAAATGAAAACAAATCACAAAATTATCAGAATATGTCTACAAAAGAGTGAGCGTGTCCCCCGCTAATCGCAGGGGCCCTTGATTTATATAACAAATAGCTAGTAAGTAATACGACTACGCAACAATAAATACAATGTCCCTCAATAATTGCAGCGCTTCTAGCCTGCTCTTCATAACTGTGCTCCTTAATGAAGTGGTGCTCTGTGTAATGGCGATCGAGTATATATTAACTCTGCATTAATTACTTAGAGGACCGTTACATTTGATCGTCTTTATTGATTTACTCTTGAGTCCAAGTCAGATTTAATGACTTATCCAATTATCTTGACACGAATTCACTACTACAGAATTCACATACAACGTCGGGTCTTTAACGTCGGCTATATAAATAGCCGACGTTAAAAACATTTAAAATTTTTTTTTTTATAATTAAGTTTATAACGTCGGCTATTTATTAATAGTCGACGTTATAAATAAAACATAAAAATATAAAAGAAATACGTAACCTACGACGTCGGCTATATTAATAGCCGACGTTGTAAGTTGTTTATTACTTTTTTAAAAAAATTATTTATATATAACGTCGGCTATTTCCCTTTAGCCGACGTTATAAAGAAAAAAAAAAGAAAATAAATATAATAAGACGTCGGCCGACTATATAGCCGACGTCGTATTCTTTTTTTTTTTTTTTTTCTTTATAACGTCGGCTAACTAAAGTAGCCGACGTTATAAAGGTTATTAAATAAAGCCAAGACAGATCAGACGACCCGATCTCAGACCACCGCATCGCATCTCCTCCATTTCCTCCGATCCATCTCCTCCCCTCTCATCCATCTCTTCTTCCCACCGCCTCCCCCGCCGCTGCCGACGCCGCTGCAACCCGCCGACGTCGTCCCCGACGCACACTCCTTCCCCGCCGACGTCGTCCCCGCGCCGCCGCTGCAACTTCATTCCCCCGCCGCCGCCGCTACAACTTTAACCCCCGCCGCCGTCGCTTCACCCTCTCCTCCCCGCGGCCGCACCGTCTCAGACCGGCCGCTTCCCTCCGCCACTACGCCATCGACGGACACTGCCGGTACGTTATATATATATATATATATATATATATATATATATATATATATATATATATATATATATATATATATATATATATATATATATATATATATATTAATTATTATTAATTAATTTCGAATTTTATTAAATTGATTTGCAATTTAGGGTTTGTTTGTATATATTTGTATATTTTATTGATTAATTTCGAATTTTAGTCAATTTATTTGCATTTTAGGGTTTATTTGTATATATTTGTAATTTTTATTGATTAATTTTGAATTTTAGTCAATTTATTTGCATTTTTGAGTTTATTTGTATATATTTGTAATTATTATTGATTAATTTCGATTTTTAGTCCATTTATTTGCATTTTAGTGTTTGTTTGTATATATTTGGTAATTGGTATATTCTAGATTGTTTTGTAATCGGTAATTATTTGTATATAATTTGTAATTGTAATTGGTAATTTGTTATTGGTATAACTCTACAAAATTCTCTAACTTAATAACGAAAAAATTAATTAAGTATTTAATAATAATTTTTTAAAATTATATAATATAGGATTAACAACTCTAGAATTAACGAATATTGAGGTTAGTTGAAAATTTAGAAGATATGAATTGATGGATTAATTTGTTGTTGGACTTCATTTAATGAATTGGTGGGAAGAGGCAGAAAAGACACACCTAGGAGAAGAGCTCTCTGATGTTTTGCTGTACCTAGTGAGGCTGTCTGATGTGTGTGGCATTGATCTTGGCAAAGCTGCACTTAGAAAAGTTGAGCTTAATGCCTAGTCTTTAGCTGTACCTAGCTTAATGTCATTAGCTGCATCAACATTGAGTAATGAAAGGTTATATATCTTTGTTCGATTTGTAAGAAATTAAAATGAGATTACATTAGCTATTATGTAATGTGCAACTGTTAACAATGGCTTATAAAATTATTTTTGTCAAATTTGTAAGTAATAAGTTTAGTTAGCTGTCAACTACCATGTAGTGTGATGACATCTCAGTTACCATTCCAAATTTATAAGCTTTGCTATTTATACTAACGTTGCTCCAGAATATCAAGAACCACCAAAAGAAAAAAAAAATAAAAAATCCCATTAGAACCAATGTGACATCTAACCTACTAAGTTGTGATGATATTTCTAGTGAAATGCAATAGCTGAGGTGAGTTTAATTTGTGTGTTGTTTTCTGTACTCTTGGCTAAATGATGCATACTAAAATCAAGATGTAGTCTTGGCTATATATGAACAGGCAAATGAGGGGAGAGGAGCTTCAAGAATTGAGTATTGAAGAGTTGCAGCAGTTGGAGAGGTCCCTTCAAATAGGTTTGGGCCATGTTATCAACAATAAGGTTTAATTTGTGCTACCCAGTGATATTATGGTTTATTGTTATGATTATATATATGGTCTATTATATTTTTCACAAACATTTGTTTTTTCGACTAATTTGTCAGGGTGAAAAGATTATGAAGGAAATAAACCAGCTTCAAGAAAAGGTATACTAGTGTTGTTTTAAGGTTGAGTACTCACAGTGGTGAATTGAAGTTTCAAAAATTGCAGGGAGTGCATTTAATGGAAGAAAATGAACGATTAAGACAGCAGGTATTGGCTCTATATAATAGAATGTACAAATTAAACCTACATTTTCCCACATAACAGGGAACTGAAAATAAGTTGTTGTGTGATATAATGTGAAGGTGGTAGAGACATCAAAAGGTCAGAGATCGATGGCAGTAGCTCCTGGGGATTCAGAGAACCTGTTGAACCAGGAAGGCGGCCTATCCTCTGAGTCTGTCACTAATGCTTGCAAGTATCCTGGCATCCCACAAGATTATTATGAACATTGTCAAATATAAATTATACCTTTTTTTTTCTTTCTTTTTCTTGCATACTGCTTTGCTGGTATCTGCATCTTGTTGGATGAAATTAAGTTCAAACTCTTAATCTTATATGCTTAAACGACTCAAACGTACTCTGTCGTCTCTTTGAATTTGAGTCAATACAAATGGTCGTTAGAGCTCGATACTTAACCATCGGGCTGGCTATAAGTATATGAACTTGTTAATTGGCTGTCATCCTTTTCTTCTTTCTTAAAGTCCATTCATTATGGCAGGTTGCCCTACACAGGCTGAATGGAGAATCCTAAACAGTAACCACTGGTTTAAGAGTCTTCTAACTTCTTTTTTTGGGGTACTATTTATAATTGCAGTAATTATGTATTAAGTACTTATATATTTTCCAAGTGTTACGTTGATCCTAATGTTTCAATTTTAGGTGTGTCAATTCAGCAAAGTTGTTGAGAAGCAATGGATCAACTCGTTCACCAAAATGGACTAAGGTTTTGGTAAGTATTTTATACATTTGTAAAACTACATATATTTTATTATTTTTTATTAAATAAAATTTTAAATGTAATTTAATTCAAATGTAGTGTGCTCAACAAGTTGGAAGTACGGCATGTGGATATTATGTGATGAAATAAATGCTTGAAATTCTTTCCAAAGAAGCATGCGCGGGAATGGATAAGGCATGTAATTTAATATAATACTTTTCTCTTTCTAATTTTAAAAATGCTAGCTTACTAATTATTTAATAATTATCAACTTTGTAGATTGTTGAGAGAGTTGGTAGATCGAGCTACACTCAACAAGAAATCGATCAAGTAAGAGACGTATGGGCCGACTTCTTTTTCTTTGTTGATGTATGGTTAAGTATGTAAATTGAACAAATTGATATTAGCTTTTGATAATGTTAACTTGTATTATTAATTAGTATCAAATTGTGAGATTTATTACTTTTATTACTTGTTTCATTATAAATATTAGATTGTACATATTTTGTTGTGGTTGTGGTGCAATAATTGAGCAGGTTTTGATTGTGGTTGTGAGAAATTGAGCAGGTTTAGGTTGTGGTTGTTGTTGTGAGTAGATTTGAGCAGGTTTTTGGGTATAAATAATGGACAAATAAATTGTATATTAAAAAAAAAAAAACATACAACGTCGGCTATTAAGTAATAGCCGACGTTGAATATATTTTTTAAAAAAATAAATAACGGTTACAACGTCGGCTAATAGCATTTAGCCAAAGTTGTATAGTATTTTAAAAAAAAAAATTAAAATACTTACAACGTCGGCTAAATGCTAATAGCCGACGTTGTAGGTATTTTATAAAAAATTAAAATACCTACAACGTCGGCTAATAGCATTTAGCCGACGTTGTAAGTATTTTAATTTTTTTTAAAATACTATACAACGTCGGCTAAATGCTAATAGCCGACGTTGTAAGTATTTTTTTTTTTTTAAATACTATACAACGTCGGCTAAATACTATTAGCCGACGTTGTAAACTTTATTTATTTATTTTTTAAAATAATATATAACGTCGGCTATTTATATAGCCGACGTTATAGATAATATTTACAACGTCACCCAGAACAACTACGGAACATAGTCGACGTTAAAAGCTCTATTTAGCCGACGTTAAAAGCCTGCTGTGTAGTAGTGATTATATCTAAAACTTTTGTATATCATAACCAAAAAAGTAAGAAATAATTATGCACGCGGCGGGCTGGTTAGCTGAACCCTGCCATCCAATCTAAAACGTAAAGAAGATAGATAAGAAAGCATGCACACGCTTGCCGGTGTCATGGGCACTTCACATTACAATAAGTTAGACAATCTCCGAAAAAGTAAAGAAAAAAACATTAGAATACAAAGCAAGCGCGTGCGTATGTCTGTCGCCATGTTGGAGTACCATGTATGTGTACATATATTCTAGCATGTAAAGTAAACAAAAAGTAAAGGGAGATCAGCACAGATTCCGATACAACACTTGTGAAAAATAAGAAAAAGAAAATCATCTTGGATCAAATATATGTTTCCATTTTCCAACATAAACGAGATTTTGAATCCGACAACTCTTTACAAAGACTGTTAATTGCAATGAGAGAATTCAAAAGGAAGAGAATTGTAATTCCATCTGGACTTAGCTCACTAATTCAATAGATAATATTTAGAAAAAAAAGTAAATGTTTGAATTTTGGCAGCAATAGTGTGAGGATTATATTTGAAGTGGACAGATTTCTTGTGCGCACCAGCATTTTGCCATGTCTATTGAGCCATTGAGTCATTGTGATTTACATCATTCCAAATGCTCTGTTGAGCCGGGGTGTGGGGGTCCTTAGGGTTGTGGATTCAACTTTTTAGGAGAAGAGAATTCGAATGTTGGAATTTTAGCAGAAAATGACATAGAAAATGGCTATTTTGTGATACAAATATATGTGGGGTTCATTTTTTATTTGGATCAGGTCAAAGTGTATTCGGGTTCTTCGTTGTGAGATGAAGAGATTGATATATTGTACGCTCAAAACGAATAATGGGTGAATGAGAAATTAATTCTCAAAATAGACACATTTGAATTGGAAAATGGAAGGGAAATGCTTTGTAAAAGCACTTGTCCCACATTGGTTTGGGAAGTGATTTGCATCCATATACATACAAGATCTTTTCTAAGACATTGAATTGTATAGCATAGAGGTTCTTTCTTGTGTGAGCAAATTAACTACTTGGTTGACACTCAAAAATTTTATTTAAATGTCATTGTTAACTGCAAAACCTAATAAATTCTGCCAAACCACTTCCGTAAATTGTACGAACGGATTGCTCGCCCACCGGACATTTTGAGCTCAAACTTGGTCGTAAGGAGAGTGTGTGTACACACAACTCGGATTTTTGTTTCTTCTTGGTGAGATTAATTTTTGTAAAAATTAAATCCCTGTACTAGTTTCGTACTAGTTTTTAGTTCGGATTATTTTTCATAAAATAAATCCCTAAAGCATACAAATCACGCGCTTTAAGAAGGAAACTCACGCATCTTATGTTTCAACAACTACTTACATTAAGAACAAAATTCACGCACCTTAAGCACAAAATTCATGCACCTTAAGCACAAACCCCACGCAACTTAAGCACAAAACTCACACACCTTAAGTTTCAACAACGAACTACTTACATTAAGTAAACACTCACGCACCTTAAGCACAAAACTCACGTACCTTAAGCACAAAATCCACGCACCTTAAGCACAAAACCCACGCACCTTAAGCACAAAAATCACACACCTTAAATTTGACCTAGATGTAAAAATGACCAAATTACCATCGCATTTTTTTTAAAAAAAATTTGATAATCCTAGACGTTGATTTAATCTAAATCAATGGCTCTCCTCTCACCACCCATCAGTTCAAAAGTGGGAAATGAATTGCACTTCCTTTCTACAAAACATGTTATTATAAGGTCGGTTGATCTTAAAATTGTAGTATATATTAGCTGATTATAAAAAATAATAATAATAATAATAATAAATTAACACTGTAGAGTTATAAATTTATAGCATCTTCTAATTCTACGCCCTTGCACTGTACGATATATATGGTACAAAATACAAATTAACCTGAAGATTCTACCCTGCATTTTAATACAATGTTGTATTTAATCATAAAATGTACTTAATAAAGCTACATCATTTATTTTGTCATTGAAAAGTATAATTTAGTCAAATACACTATTTATACTCCATCTTGAAAATATTGTAACATGTTACACAAATTTAAGAGGTTATATATATTTAATGTATTGACTATATGATATATCCTAATCTACATCTAAATAATGTGGAAAGCAAAAAAAAGGTAATTAGTTTAGGAAACAAAATTAAAGATCCATCCCTTCCAAAGAAGATAATTATCCAAAATCAACACAATTACAATTAAAATAATCATTAAGCTCTTCGTCTTCATTTGGACTTGGACTTCCATTTAAACTCCACCACCTTTGTATATGCGATCATTATTGTGTGGACAATGGTCCACACAAGTTGTGTATACCATATTTTGTATACTGTAAAATATTGTTCATTCAATAAAAAAATAATGTACATTGTATTTATGAAATGTACATTATTTTTATACTGAGTGTATATTATATTATATAATGTAAATACAATACAAAAATAATGTACATTTAGTATATTAAAAATATAATTTTTGTTATAGTCCACATAAAAGCAATAATTTGCCTTGCATATGTCCAATAAAAACTTGTCTTATATGATTAGACTTCGATCTTGTTATAGGCCCAATTGGCACTCATAATGGATCAATAGGTTAATCCGTATCATTATTACTGAATACTGATACGTTTTTTCTTGAATATACCAAAAAAGGTAAAAGTATTTATAATGTTGTATTTTTAAAAGTAAATAATTTTTAGATGTCTAAATATGATTAGCTGTATAATTCTTTCAGACAAGAAGAGAATAATATTGTTGATCATATTTATTATTTATTGATTATTTCAATTCTTTTTTATAATTTAAATTTAAATCTTTGTGATTAATAATAATTTCAATATAATACTTAAACATATAAATTTTATATATTAATATTAAATTAAATATTACTCCATAAACATTAATATTTTAATAATTTCAATTAATTCGCATGAGGTACATAAAATGATATGATACACTCGGCATGCAAATAGAATTGTTATTAAATTATAATATTGGAGAGAGGGTTGGTTAACTTCCTTGGAAAATGGGGACATTTAACGTGCGACCAAAGAAGAAAAAGACGGATTGAAGTGTGCGGTTGGGACACGCCACAAACCCACATGGATGCTTCTTCTTGTTTGTTGTCTTTCCATTTTCACTTCGGGATTTACACATATTTGGACGCCGGTCGATAGCTATCATCAAATCCACCTTACACATGGACTCCACCTGCACCATCCATTCTTTGATTAAATATAATACTCTGCATAAATGAACTAGTTAAGAATCGAGAAAAATGTCCTTA